GCACCCAAACCATTTACACCTCGACGGGACGGGAATCTGAAGCTCCGGGCTTCATGCGACGCCTGTGCCGCGTCGAAAGTCAAGTGCAGCAAAGAGCATCCGGAATGTGCGCGCTGCCTCCAAACTCATACGAAATGCGTATACGGCGTCTCGAGAAAACACGGAAAGCCAGGCCGGGTGAGGAAGAGGAACCCAGATGGGTCTCCATTTGTCAAAGTCACAAGGCAACGCCCATCACCAAGTGGCAATGAGTTCGGCGCATTCATGCTACAAACTCCTCCCGTTCGACGGACCGATTCGGAAGTCACGTCGAATTGGCCTTCAGACTGGTCGCCTACACCAAGCCTATCCACTCCTTCAGGTTTCGACTCCGAGACTGCACCTGAACCACCATACCCGAATGACATCCTCCAAGATACCACCTATATGAACACTGGCGTCCTGTCGAGACAACGTGTTCAGCCGGATCCTGTGTCAGCCACTGGGACAGACCAGTTCTTTCAAGATCCTTTCACTCAGGAACAGAGAGTACAGTCTCAGTATCCTACCTGGGAGACTCTCAACGACTACATCAGCAGCGATGACGCAAACCCCATGGACTATCACCCTGGCGGTGCAAAGACTGTGGAGCATCTACGTTCGGCCTCCTCCATATCTTTTCCGTATAGTCCAATGAGCCAAACCGTAGGAGGACACGACAATATGGCATCCTGCACCGAAGTCACGACAGACAACTGCCATAGTTGCTATCCATTGGCCTATTCGACGCTCGAGAGCCTGCCACACGCCAGATACCCGGGCCACTCGAGGGACTCATTCGATGCCGTTCTTCATACTGTCCGGTCAGCACGAGAGAACATCTCGCGGCTTCTCAGGTGTTCATGCTCGTCAGACCCACACCTTGCTATGCTATACTCTAGCATAACATCAAAGATTTTGGCCTGGTATCAAACCGCTGCCAGCGTTAGTCGCGGACCCCGTACCAGCTACCCGGTCTCGGCATCGCTCCCCTGGAACTACTGCCAACCTCTTCCTTTCTCGCAGACCGTTTTCTCCCCTTCGTCTGTGACGAGCATTGGGGACGCGGAAAATTACAACCTGTACATGCAGTCATCTCCCTTCACCCAGTACAAATTTGACGACGGTGAGCAAGAGAGACATAGAAGACAGATAATCCTCAATGAGTTGCGAGGATGTGCGCAACTCGTTGAGGCACTAGCTAATTGGGGAGGTAATGGCGATACTTGCGAGCAGGCGGGGCACCTGTATGAATTTCTAGGAGGCTGGCTGAAGAGCCAACTGTGTATGATAATGAAGCAGATCGAACACAAAGAGTCTTCGACGGCTTGACCTAATGAGGAGGATCGATAATCAGGAAAGGAATGGGGGGTGCATTGGAGGCATTTGGCTGCTGTTTAATAACCACGGTTTCTCGTGACTGGTGGTAGTCGAGCTTATCACCTAGTAATGTTAATCAAAAGTCCTTCGTTCTTATACTCTTAGTGGCAGTAGGAAACATATCTCGTCGATGCGCGGATATTCAGACAACAGTAGCCTGCTCTGCGGCTGTGTTTGTCGAGCTGTTGTGGAGCCACCCCGGATTTCCCCAGTGCACGTGCACCTTCACATGCCTCGGCTCAAACCGCAGCAAGCATCATAGCACTGGCTCACATGCAAGGTACACCATCTCCAACCTCCAGCACCGCCGTTGCGAGAAATGACAGTCTTCCCAGAGAGGATGTCCACGGTCAACAATGGCCGCTCAGTCTACCTTGCGACAGCCTCATGACCCGCTCCTAGCACTCTACGACCGCTATGCGACGCTCCTCAAGTCCCGCGTGCGCGGCGCATCCAAGCTCACGAAGCTGCTGTCCACTATCACCCTCCTCTTCACCATCATAGGCACCGGATATGGAGGCACGAGATGGTACAAGAGCCGGCGCGCAGAGAAGGAGACCGGCCGACGGTTGCTGAGGAGGAACTCCGGACTCAGGAACAAAGATGGCTCCAGGACCATTTACGTACCCTACCGCGACTCGACGTCCAAGGTGGTCATACATCCCACCAAGCAAACCACATTCGATGCGCATCGCAGACTCTTCCTCCAGCCGCCACGCGCAGCCCGCATGGCTGACACGACCTCGAGCGACCCGCAAGCGCCGCCGCCACAGACGAAGCCGGGTCTCAATTTGGCCTTCCTACACCAGTTCTTGAGCCTTCTGAATATCATGATACCGCGTTGGAATAGCAAGGAGACAGGTCTGCTGGTCAGTCACAGCGTATTCCTCATGCTGCGGACGTACCTGTCACTAGTCGTGGCGCGTCTCGACGGAGAGATCGTGCGCGACCTTGTAGCAGGGAACGGCAAGGCATTCCTGTGGGGTATAGTCAAATGGCTTGGTGTCGGCACCTTCTCTTCGTACACGAACGCTATGATCAAGTTCCTGCAGAGTAAGGTCTCCATCGCGTTCCGAACGCGACTCACGCGGTACATCCATGACTTGTACCTGAACGACCATCTGAACTACTACAAGCTACAGAATCTGGACGGAGGTGTAGGCGTCGGGGCAGACCAATACATTACACAAGATCTGACGCTATTCTGTGCGAGCGCTGCATCCTTGTACTCGAGCTTAGGAAAGCCGTTTGTGGATCTTTGCGTGTTCAACTACCAGCTCTACCGCTCTCTAGGGCCGTTAGCGCTTACCGGTCTGCTGAGCAACTACTTCCTCACCGCGACCGTACTGCGAAAACTGTCTCCGCCCTTTGGCAAACTCAAAGCTGTCGAAGGACGAAGAGAAGGCGAGTTCCGCGCTCTGCACTCCCGACTCATTGCAAATGCGGAGGAAGTGGCTTTCTACGGCGGTGACGAGATGGAAAAGCACTTCCTGGAACGAGGATTCAAGGACCTCAAGCACTGGATGGAAGGCATCTACAGTCTCAAGATCCGGTACAACATGCTTGAAGACTTTGTGCTCAAATATTCATGGTCGGCTTTCGGTTACCTGGTTACTTCGCTCCCAGTCTTCTTGCCCGAATGGGGTGGTGTGGGAGGCACACCCGAGCTACCTGGAGGAGAGAAATCGCACCGCGAGCGCAGCCGTATGAAAGACTTTATCACGAACAAGCGACTCATGCTGTCTCTTGCGGATGCCGGCGGTCGCATGATGTACAGTATCAAAGATCTCTCTGAACTGGCCGGCTACACATCACGCGTCTACACCCTGATCAGTACTCTCCATCGTGTCCACGCAGAAGCATACTACCCTCCACCCGGCACGCGACCCGAACTCTATTCCGTCTCCGATATCCAAGGCACAGTCCACAAGGGCTTTGATGGAATCCGCCTCGAACACGTTCCAGTCGTCGCCCCAGCCCTGCACCCAATGGGTGGCGAAGAACTCCTAGAATCCCTATCCTTCATCGTTCACTCCGGCGAGCATCTCCTCATCACCGGCCCCAATGGCTGCGGCAAGAGCGCCGTCTCGCGCATTGTAGCTGGTCTCTGGCCCGCATACCGCGGTCTTGTCAGTCGTCCCCGCAGTATCGGCGTGGACGGCATCATGTTCCTTCCTCAACGACCCTACCTCTCCACCGGTACCCTCCGCGACCAAGTCATCTACCCTCACACCGATGCCGATATGAAGGATGCAGGCCGCCGCGACTTTGAACTGTCGCAAGTTCTCGAAGAAGCTAAATTAGGTTACTTGCCTGATAGAGAAGGCGGCTGGGACACGAAGAAAGTGTGGAAAGACGTGTTCAGCGGTGGTGAGAAACAGAGAATGGGTATTGCGAGGCTGCTTTACCACGAACCCCGGTACGCATTCGTGGACGAGGGCACCAGTGCGGTTAGCAGTGATGTCGAGGGCCTGCTGTATGAACGCGCGAAAGCCAAGGGCATAAGTAAGTATCCCACCACCCCTGTCACAGATGACTTTAACTGACTCACAACTTCAGCATTGATCACAATATCCACGCGCGCATCCCTAAAGCGCTACCACGATTACACACTAACCCTCGGCATGGGCGACCACGGCGACGAATGGGACTTCCAACGCATAGGCACACAGTCTGAGAAGTCGAGCGTCGAAAAGGAGTTGGCAGAGCTGAGGGAAAGGCTTGCCAAAGTCGAGGAGTGGAAGAAGAGACGAGAGGAAATCGAGGCAGAGTTGAACAGGGTGTGGGTAGAAGGGAAAGATGGGGAGGGTGAGGCTGAGAGCGAAGAACTAGCACCGCCGCCATACTTGGAACGAGAAGAGAACGTTGACACACCGATTACAGACGAGGATGATGCTGGCAATAGGGATCAAGAGGAGGCGGTCGAGAGTGGGAGTGAAGGAATCTCGCCGTCCAGCTAGTGTAGGTATCGAAACACATCATTTTTCCAACCCCAACTCAGCTCTACAGCCCCTCAAAAAAAAGATGCTCGCCTTTTTCAACGTCTTGTCAAAGTACATGATCGCGGCAACAATAATGAAAAAACAGGCAAAAACATACAACAGCGGGTGGTCCCCGGTGGTCACCCACCCGAGTACTAATCCGCCGGTATCCAGCTTAAGTACCGCTGAGCGAACGGGAAGCGCTGGTTGTCAAGATCCTATGGTCGTATGTGGAGGTTTTGGTTGTCAAATTGAATTATAATGAGAAGAGTTGGGTGCGGTTCACATTTTTGCTCCAGGAGACCACATATACCGGGCTGCAGACGGCGACACCCGCTGTTTGCTTGCTGCGACTGAGTCAGAGAGAGAGTAGGAAACATAGTAGAGGAGGTGCGAAAGAGATGTCACGTTTCACTCATTGAGATGATCACCATAGGGAGTGGGCAACAAGTTCCCATTCATCCAACTATCAAGATCCTGGTGATCCAAGCTTGCGTCGTGGAGCCGTCCTTCCGTAGTTGTCCAGCATCATTGTCCCATTTTGTCTTGAGACAAGAGTGATCGTGTATTCTCCAACCCAATTTTCCGCGCGCATAGAGCATCGTACCGTCATCAACGCGATCAAGCCCGAGGTGCTGGGTGATCGTGATACTTTGGACATATCAAAGGCTTGATGTATGTGGCCCAGTTGGCCTTGTTGAAAGGCAGATTTGCCCGCCCTGCAATTGACGGAATGGGAGTCGATCCAAGAGCTAAGAGAGCCATCAACATATCTCCGAGGAACTCCTTAGGATATGGTACCAATCCTTGTGTTCGTCCGTTCGGATCAACCAGACTTGGGAAACGAAAATTATCGACAGCAAAATCCAAGAGAACCTTGCGCAGAGCTGATCTTTGAAGTGTGTTTTCATAGACATAGGCGAGATCGTGGTTTGGGAACGACCACTCATGATGCATCTGCTGGATAAGCAGGTCGATCGCGGCATTGCAGAGCTCAGGAGCCCCTCGGGCGTCGCCAAAGACGTAGATCTCGCAAATGAGCTCTGTGCTTAGAGGAATTTTCCCTGAAGCGTCGAGCGCGAAGTAGAGCTTTCCTGTGTGGATCCAGCGGAAGAACGCGTTGAATACCTCTGGGTTATCGTCCTTCAGCTCGACAGTCTTTAAACCACCCCAACAATCCTTCATGGCAGCTTTGAAGTAGGAGGAATAGTGGGAAAGCAGGCCTTCGTAGACGTGAAATTCGCAATACGGGTCCCAATTGCCGACTTTAACGGTGACTATCGGGCCATAGTCATCGCTGTTCCATATGTTAGTGGAATGTATGCTTATACAGCCTTCTCTCTGCTTACGTGTTAGGTGGAGGAGTAGCTTTGGAGCATTTGGCCAGCTCGAGCAACGGAGTGACCTTTGGGGGCTCTTCTTTCTTCTCTGGAGTCGCCATCGCGAACGATTGTGGTTGTCGTGATGCTGGGACGCAGTCGTGACAGGTGTTTCAATAAATCAGATCGATGTGACGGTGATGGTGAAAAGTACTGGGCCTAGTAGCGCGGTCTTGGCAGTGAGCTGGAAAGGCAGGAGCAACGGCCAGGGTCCAGTAAGCGGTGACAAGCCGGGTTCACTGACCATAGACTGCCGTCTGGTTTCCATTGTGAAGCATACATGCCACTAACTGTTGGTACTTACTCATCGTTCGGTCCAATGTAGTCCCAAGGTCCAGTTTGAGTGGCGGCTTTGGATTACACTGTTGGACATCCGTAGCGGCCCTTACACAGCATAGTCTCTTCCTATTTTGTTATATCACCAACATTAGTCAAAGGAGGACTGCAAAGCTTCGGTTAAGTGACTCCATTATTGATTCTACCAACATGGTCAACGAGCTTGCGCATCAGCTACACGTCCACTAGAACCACAGTACTTCTCTAGCATGATTGTACACTTATCTCATTTCTCTCTCTCCCTATTGGAGAAAACGCCAGACCATGCAAATGCTACTCGCTCTTTCTACGATTGTACAACTACTAATACATAATTTTTTCCTTTTCCAACACGCTCGCTAAACCCCAAAGTCGCTCAATAGAAAGATTTGCGTATTACTAGTATTTCTTCTTTCTGTGCCGCACATGAGGATCCTGTCCCTTTCGGTTCCTCTTCTGCCGGTCAGTTGGCGGCCGGTACGGTTCTTTGCCGTACTCTCCCCGGTACAGGCCAAGCATGTATTCATCGACGTGTCTCCGCTCCTTCTCGTTACCGTCGACATCGAGGTCTTCGTTCGCTTTGGCGGCAGCGGCGGTCTCCGAGGCGGCTCTCGTTGCGTTGAGACTCTCGTTGAAGTCAACTTGGTCTTCTTGAATCTCGTCCACAATCTCCTTCTGCGCGATGGAAGCTGCCGTGCGATCCTCGGTGTCCTCCACTGTGCCCATGACGCGTGCGTCACCCAGCAGTCCAATCTTCTCGCCGAGCACACGTTCCATGGCTGCACCCGCTTCGTCGTTGGTGTCGATTCCTAGGTTCTCGTCGAGTGCATCGCGCCAGGTGACTTTGTTGAAGGTGTCTGTGGTGAAGTCACCCTTTTGGATAATGACGTCGTCGAGGAGACGTTTCTGGTTCGACTTGCGGAGGATGTTGGCTTCGATGGTGTATTCGCTGACGAACTTGTAGATGTGCACATCGCGCGTCTGACCGATACGATGAGCTCGATCTTGACACTGCTTGTCCATCGCGGGGTTCCAATCAAGGTCGTAGAAGATGACGCTGTCAGCACCTGTGAGATTGATACCGAGACCACCAGATCGAGATGACAGGATGAAGCATAAGATGCGGGGGTCACTGTTGAAGCGATCGGTAAGAATCTGGCGCTGCTCGATCTTGGTAGACCCGTCAAGGCGCAGGTAGCGATATCCATGGATGTTCAAGAATTGCTCGAGAATGTCTAGAACCTTTGTCATCTGGGTGAAGATGAGCGCACGGTGGCCACCAGCCTGTAGATCTCGAAGGAGTGTTGCAAGACGCTGAAGCTTGCCACAGTCGTATTGAAGGAGACGCTTGTCCGGGAAGGCGATCGATTGTCGGATGCGCGAAGAATGGAAGGGGTCTTTTTCGTGTGCTGCCTCCGACGATCGAATCAGCTGGACACCGCGCCTGGATAGGGTCAGAGGTGCTAATTCCTCGGCCGCAACGGCAGGCGTAACGCATGTGAAGCGGGTAATGAGAGGCTCCATAGCCTCAGCGCGCTGCTCCAATGTTGGGATCATATCATAGAAATGGGTAATTTGTTGATCGTGCCAATGCGACAAGACACGATGAGAGCGCGGTGACCTGAATCCGAGTAGACCATGATGACGTTGAACGATGTCATAGTGAATCGTTTCCTCTTGTCTTGGTTGCATTTGAGCCTGACCGAAGCCGTGGTAGTTGGGATGTGGAGTGTGATGGGTTCGGTAGAGGAGAGGCTTAGCCACTCTCTTCCCTTCAGTGATAGCCCCAAATGTAAAATCGTGCCAATCGACGGTCAGCGCGTCAATGATGTCCTTTCCGTAAATCGGCATAAACTGGGTGCGCGCGCGAGTAAGGTTAAGACATGTTTGCAAATGGTCCCGAACGGCCACTTGCTCTCGCTTCGCCATCGCTGCCATAGTCGCTTGTAGTGAAGAAGTGCCCTTGTCGATGGGCTTGTTGATGCGCCGTGTTTGGCGCTCGATCAGATCCTCCAGGGGCCGTGTGGCGCGGATAGGGTAGGTGCGTCTAGCATGACCCAACTGCGTCTGTTCCCGTCGCGCAAACACCAAGTTCAAGGCGTCTAGATTTACTTGCTTATCTTCCATGCCCTCTTGCAGTCGCTTCCTGATGAGAAGGTCCTTGATCTCGTACTGAGCAGCGACTGACTTGGGCATGGCCATGGACGTTACAATGGCTCGTGTTTCGAACAGGTCGGGGTGATTGCAGACTTTTCGTAATGACATTAAGCAATTGATAATCGACATGTAGTTGCCGGAGGACAGGATCTCCTTGGTCGAGGCGCGGCCCATGAACCCATCGTAGAGCTGCCGTTGCCGCTTGGAAAGCTTGCAGTAGACCACGTGCTCATACTTCCCTGGCATTTGCTTCTCAACCTCTGATTTCAGCCTTCGAAGCAAGTAGGGGCGAAGGACTTCGTGAAGCCGCTTGACAACCTTCTGCGCTTCCGCATCAAGCTGCTGCCGACCTTGATCGAGAATCTGCGAAGTAGGATTCTTGAGAGCCAAGGTAAACTCCTCCAGTCCCGCGATGCGACCTTCCCCGGCAAAGCCAGCTGGCATTAAGAAGTAGAGCAGCGACCAAAGTTCATCGATGTTGTTTTGTAGAGGCGTACCAGTCAGTAACAACCGTCGCTCTGTTCTAAGATTAAGCATAGTCTGCCATCGTTGAGACTTGAAGTTTTTGATGTTGTGGGCTTCATCGAGGACCAGGTAACGCCAGGGACGCATCTTGAAGGCTGCTGCGTCTTGGAGGATGAGCTGGTAGGAGGTAATGACGACGTTGTACATGTCCTTGCCAGTGTTGCGCCAGCCCATGCGCTTTCGTTTTCGCTCATTGATGTCGCCATAGTATGTCAGAATCTTGAAGCCTGGCAAGAATTTCTTGAACTCCATCTCCCAATTGAGCATGACACTGGTGGGTACGACGACTAGATGTGGTCCCCATATCTCGCGACGAACAGCGAGGTAGGCGAGAAGTGAGATGGTCTGTATAGTCTTGCCCAGACCCATCTCGTCTGCGAGGATTCCGTTTGTCTCGGATTCGTACAAGTTCGCCAGCCAGTCCAAACCATCGTGCTGGTACTCTCGGAGGGTACCGCGTAGTAAGGATGGCACCTCGGTCCTTGGTGGGGATGATGTATGCCGTGATCGAGAAGCGCTTTTAGAATGTACTACATTTTCCATCGGAGTTGGCTCAGCTGCCTCGACGGTAGGAGCAGGTTCTGTTTCAGAATGCCCGTTCACATGTGGCTCGTCTACTTCAGCGACAGAATCATGACCATTCACATGTGGCTTCTCCTCGTAGACTTCCGCGGGCGATGTAGCATGGCCATTCGTTTGTTCGGGCTGAGTTGTCGGGTCTTCCGGTTCCACATCGTCAATCGCGGTCTTGGCGGCCTCTTTCAGTTTCTTGATGTCTTTAGGTGCCAAGAAACCCATCATGCCTAAGTCTTCTCCCTCACTCTCATCCTCGTCATCTTCTTCCGAGCCGACTTCTTCATGACCACCACCCTCGCTATCCGAACCTTCGTTGCTCGACCAAGCTTCACTACCAGATTCCGAGCCCTTGTCGTCCTCAGAATCGAGCAAAGCATCATCAACCTGATCGAGCTCCACTGTAGCAGGATCGATATAGTCTGGCTTCTGTTTATCTCCATCTTCTTCGTGGTCGTGAAAGCCGTTCGTCTGTTGAAATGGGTTCTCTGGAAGCTCGTTCGTGTTGTCGACATCGAGGTCGGGATCGGGTGTTGGCGCAGGAGTGCCCTCTTCGGAATCAGCGTCGTCATCGTCTTCGCCGTCGTTTGAGTTGACTTCCGCCTCGGAGCTGCTCTCGGGGAGATCGGGAAGTTGTCCGTACTTCTCGCGTAGTTGTTCGGCCGTGAGGTTCGCATCTTCATCCTGCTCGTTCTCTTGTTCGCTATCGGAGCTGGAAGACATGACATCGTCGTCGTGCTGTTGTTGTGAGGCATGCGACACCCCGCTTTCGGATTCCATCTCATTGAAATCACGGTCTTCGCTGACCAAGGAGGAGGCCCCGTCGCCAGCGTTACGACCACCCAGAATCTCTTGCGCTTGATTAAACATGTCATCCATGGCCTTGTGTCCAAGCTGCAACTGTTCCTCCTCATATTTAGCCACACGCTCCTTGTCGATCTCAACCCTGACCAAGCCCCATGCGTCCTTGACATCCTTCACGAGCTGCTTGTATCTCGTCACTTGCCGCTCGGTCTCTTCCTGTTCGATCTCATCTTGGCTCTTGCGCTTGAACTTGTTCTTCCAGAAGTCGTATGCTTCTCTGGCCAAGATCTTGGCCGTCCGCCGATGGAATGCCTTCTCCTCCTTCAATAGCTTGTTGAAGTGCAGGGCATGAGCGACAACGTGGTCCCAATGTCCGTATTGTGGCGGTGGCTCTGGGGCTGCTTCAGGCGCATATACGCTGCATCGTGCCTGGCTTAGAACTCCATGTTCAGCAGCCTCGACAATCTGCAGCCGGCGCTCGGCCTCTTCCTCGGCCTTTTCCTGTGTGATCCGAAGCGCCTCTTCGCCGTCTAACGGGTCGTCTTGTCCTAGCCACTCTTCGAGCGACGCGTACTCTGACTTGGGCGGGGCATGGTGGGGATGGCGGTTGGGAGGGTCGGGCTTTCGCAGTCGCAGGCGGAGACGAGGGGCAGGCATAGATGGGTTCGAGTCGTCTGGCGATCCATACAGGCCGGCGTAGGGGTCGTGTCCGTTCGTTTCGGCATCGTCCATGGGCTCGTCACCTAGATCATCGGTAAGTGGCTGCGCTCCCCTTCGAGAGCGCCCGACCCGCTTGCGCGTGCCTTCGGGCGACCCATTCTGCAGTGCTGGCGACGTGACGGGCGATGTTGTCGCAAGTGCTGGAGGCTTTCTCTGGCGCTCAGACTTGCGCGCCGGCGTTGCCAGAGACTGTGCGGACACCTTTTTGGTGATGGTGGATGGCGTCTTCCCTTTCGAGACAGACATGGGTCCTGAGCCATTGCGCGACTCTCGCTTGACGCCATTCTTAGGGGTGCCGTTGGTCTGCGTCGCCTTGCTGGCCGGGCGAGAATTCCGCTTTACAGGTTCCGGCGTTGGCGGTGCAGCATCCTTGCTCACACGTGATGATTTCCTGACGCCATTCTCGAAGACTGTCGTCGGTCCATCAGCCACGAATGACTTCCAGGGCGGCGATGCGGCGCGTGACGCTGAGCGGCGCGGCGTGGTGTCTTCGAGTTTCCGCCGTTTTGGCGGCCGCTCAATGACGCCACCATCATCGCCATTTACAGGTGCCGGCGGATGTTCCTCCTTGATCACAGGTGCGCTGTCGTTCTCGCTCTGTTCGCCATTGTGTGTGATGTCGGATGGGTTGTGTGCGGCGGCCGAGTCGCGTGGTGGGATGGAGTCGATGTCGCGATCCGCGGCGGTAACTTCTTCCATTCAGGAAGGGCGAGAGAGGCGGCCTGGGGAGCCTGTTGACCACCCGGCGCGCGGCCAAATCGACATATATCAGCTCGAATCCGGAGTCGCAAGATAGCCTGACGCGTGCTGGTGACGGTGATGGGGTCGGATTTCAAATTCGGGCTCGCGTTGGGATGATGCGGTGTTATGTCGAAGTTGTGAGATGGTAAAAACAGAGCCGGCGATAATGTTTGGTAGGGATCACGCTAAATACCGGCACGGGCGCGCATGCCATCCCTCTGACGTGAACGACGGCGGAATGCTGGATATCACGTCTGAGAATGCTGTGACTGAGGCTGTCTAAAACCTCCGCAGATTCTTTCAGGCAGGCGTCGGGTTGCTCAGTCGCGTAGACGCCTTCCGTGTCACATCCATGACCGGTCGTGGTACTACGCAGAGCAGTTAGACCCACTTCTCCGCCAAGCATTACCGGGGCCGCAACTGAGCTCATCGCGAACGACACATCAATACTGCAACCCATCCAACCCCCGCAATTGCGCCGCAACGTACGAAGACACCGAAGATACGCATCGCGCAAATACTCACTCGGCTCTAGCATGTTCCCCAGGCGCATTGTAGCGGCACGCCCGCTGGCTCGAGCCGTCGTCCCCGCCGTAGCCCGGCCACGACCCCAATTCACCCAAATCCGAACCGCCCTCACCGACGCTGAGAAGGCCCACGCTGAGCTCACAGACCCGAACCAAGTACGCCCACTTTTTCTAGAGAAGGCAGGAAGGACCTAGTGCTGATGGTGACAGAACGGCGGCTACATCAACCCTCCCGCTGAGAAGCGAGGAAACCGCGACCCGTACGGCGACTACTGGGACAAGCAGGAGCGCCGCAACTATGGCGAGCCCTGCCACGAGGACAACGATATCATGGGTGTACTAGCGCTCCACGACTACAACCACTTCACCCCCCAATGGGGCTTCGTCCTACTGGGCACCTTCGTCGCCTCTGTCTTCGGACTCTGCGCGGCTGTTGGTACCTTCTACCCCGACAAGCTTAGTGCGCCCAAGACTTACCCAGATGGTCTGGAGGCTGAGCTGGGTGGAAAGGGTGCATTGCTGGTAAGTGCATTATGGTTCGGTGTGGACTATTGCTAACAGTGTATAGGCAAGGAAGCCCGGTGAGGGCTGGTAAATTGTATGCAAACTCAACTGACATGTACATACAACCCAATGGGATTCTCTTTGTCAATTCAATACCCAGTTATCATCCTAGGCTACTTTGATTTTGAGCTCCACCGCCAATCCAGTCTCAAATACTAATGCATTCATCCCGTTCTGGTTCAATTGGACGCTGATTCGAGAACCTGGAACCACTCCGTCAATACAGCACTCTGCGTTGCGTGCGGGATAATGCGTCTCGGCATCCTCTTCAAGACCGGCATCCTACGACACCCACCCAGGGGCACCACTCGCCACTACGTCATCCCAGCAATCCAGGAGCACAACCTCGTGGGCCCCATGCGTTCCGCAATCCATGCCCAGGCCATGAGGGAACTCAAGTTTCTACTGGCCACCGACTGATCCACCCTTGTTGCATGCTCACTTTGTCGGTAACCGCCCAGGTTACTTGCTAGGATCCGATTGGTCAACCCACATATTTATACAAGCAATCAACAGGAGCATATACGGCAGTTGGCTTTAGAACCTTCTATAGGAAAGGATCCTTCGATGAAACTACCCGACATGGCGAACCGTGAACATCATGTGGGGTGAGTTCCATGTGGAGACTTGCTTCGAACGTCATTCACGATATATTATGAGACTCATGTGCCACAACAGCACGTTCCCTGATTCCCAACATCTACATTCCATTTTCTCGTTGTCAGACCACTTGATCGTCAGCATGTACTGGTCCTCGCTCACGCTCACGCTCACCTCTTTGTTCCACAATGTCGCAGCATCGCCGACTCACGACCTCAAGGCCCGACAGTTTGCAACAGCGGCGATGCTACGTTTCCAGTGCTCTCAACTAGTCTACGACCGTATCGACCCACTTGTCCAACCCGGCATTGCACCTTCAGCACACATGCGTAAGCGATGCCCACATACTACCTTGATACAGTACGTATACTAAATTTGCATGTCGTTGTTTAGACCAGATCGTCGGCGGAAACGCCTTCAATGTCTCCATGCCACCGCTCGACCTCGACCCCAGCACGGAAGCCACTTGCACAACCTGCGATTTTGCCGAAGACCTCTCAAACTACTGGACCGCGAATCTCTACTTCAAAGCGCGTAACGGCACCTTCCAACGCGTCCCACAGATGGTCAACTTGGGTCTACAAGGCAGAGAAGGCGTTACGGTGTACTACATCCCGCCATACGACGGGAAGAGTACGGTGACCGCGTTTCCCAAGGGTTTCAGGATGCTGGTTGGTGATCCAGGCTTGAGAGCTAAGGAAGGTCAGCAGAAACAGCTCTGCCATCGCTGTTTCACGAACAAACAGCAAGATCCTTTTGGTGGGGCCCCATGTATAGGAGAATTTGACACAGCGAGCTTGCCACCGGGCATGTGTGGAGGTGGAATCCGGACGACTATTACATTCCCAACGTTTGTGGACTCAATCTACCTGGCTTGGCGCGTATCGCTAACCTTGAATATAGATGCTGGGATGGCAAGAACGTCGATTCTCCGAACCACAAAGACCATGTCGCGTACCCTACAACTGGATCCTTCGAATCTGGCGGTCCCTGCCCATCGACTCATCCAGTGAAGATGCCTCAGCTCATGTACGAGGTCATGTGGGATACTACGCCTTTCAATGACGCGGCTCTCTGGCCTGAAGACGGGTCGCAGCCGTTTGTTTACAGCATGGGCGATGTGTGAGTGACCTGTAGCGACTGTAAGTGAACAGCACTAATTATGTGTAGGACTGGCTATGGTCAACACGGCGATTATGTCTTTGGCTGGAAAGAGGGTGCGCTGCAGAAAGCGATGGACCAACGCTGCTTCGGGAACACATGCACGGGGTTGACGACACAGGCTGCCGATGTGTCGACCAAGTGTGGGGTACCACAGGCTGTGAAGGAGCCGGTTGAAGGATGGCTCGATGAGTTGCCTGGTGGTCCAGTCATGACCTATGAGTGATCCGGGTCAATCAAACTGAACCGTGGGAGGGTAACGTACAAACGTGGGCCGAACTTATCCCTGCAAGTGACCCGACATTCGTTGCACTATGTTGACGTCTATAGAGAAACGATTATTTCGTTAATAGCATATCGCGCTCGCTTAAAAGACTCTCCGCTGGCTTTTTGGGAGATTTCTTATCAAGGTTGTCCAGTGGTCGTGTGGTGCGCAGACACCGGAACGAGCAATCGGCCGCTCACCGCGGTTGGACTTTTGTTGTCATACAAACGGCTGATCTTGCAAGGGACGCGTCCGCACCCTCCACTCCCACCAATTTTCATCATAACCGCCATGCGTCAATGTGAAGAAGACAAGGTGAGCCAGAAGAGGAAGGAGTGCCAAAGGCGCGAAGCGAATGTTGCGCTTTCGCATGTTATCATCCACGAAGATCCTGCAGGAAAAGATGAGACACCAGTACCCGGACATGATGAGAAGCTACCGGCGAAAGACGTATCGCCAGATCCTTCTGACGCTGCTCAGTCACTTCGCCCTCTACCGCAGATCTCGCGCAAAAGACAACGCGAGCCTAGTTGCGAGTCACGAGACCCGTCACTCAAGGAGTCGATTGTGGATACATCACAGCGTGATTCCACCGACGTACACAGCCCGTACTCAGAATCAGCAACCGCCCCATTGGAATACTACATTCGCCTAGCCTCAAAGTCCATGTCGCTCCCAACTCCTTCCGACTCGTACTTCACCTCACCAGAGCACGCGCCAGTACTCCACCGCAATCGCGAGAACAAGATCATAATGTACACAGGCTCCTTCAACCCACCGCATCTTGGTCACTTCGAACTGGCCTTTCATACATTCCTACGTAGCTCCTCCACCACCATCGCCGTCGTCTTCCTTCCATTTCGCGATAAACTCAAAGCGAAAGACGGCGCTATGGTCAACGGAAAGGTCTTCGCCACTGAAAAAGAACAAAGAATCGCGCTACTACAAAACGACCTACTGCAGCGCTGGACTTGGTTTCACAGAGGCCATCGCACAGATTTCGAAAAATACGGGGCTACTCTGATCAAAGAAGCCAAGAAAGACGGATTCCAAGTTTCCTTTGTAGTCCTAGCTGGAAGCGATAAATTCGAACGCGAAAAAGTCGAAACAAAGCCCTCTTGGCTCATAGGATGGGGAGAAATAATCACCAGCGACATTACACGGCCGTCTAGTCTGTTCAAGAGTCCAGAGCGTCCGCCCACACGGTTACCTGGATGTAGATCTTGGCGCTTGATCTCTACACCAACCAGCAGGAAGGGAGACTTCAGCTGTGAATGCGGAGGCGCGAATCATGAATGTCGCATCTCTCTACGGATTCAAGAGTACTGCGGTGGACATGCTGCTTTGGAAGGCGAACCGCATGTCCGATCAAAGCAAGACAGTTTGCTACATGCAATTCTGGTAAGATGCCATGAGGGAGTGGGGGCGACATGGGTTTGCCACAAGAAGACTGGGGGTACAGTGACGTTTTTGGGTAGTGGAAGAGATACTGAGGGTCATGAGAAGAGAGAAGAGGTTAGTTCTTCGGCTATCAGAAAGATATTGAGTGGAGGTGGTAATCGCGAGGAGATGTCGACAAAGTTGGAGAAGGTCATGATGAACCCAGAGTTACTGCTACACTATCTTGAATCGGATGGATAAGCAACAGAGGAACCGCAGATCGCGATACATCCTCAACACCCTCCTCAATCTAATCCACGGATTATATAGAACTACCAGATCTTCGCCAACGCCTCAAGCCCTTCAATGGAAAGCAGGATAGCCATGCTCTAACATTTGTGGTATTGAACGCCAGTGAAATGGTCATCAAAGTCCATCGCTCCAGAGGCAAGTTGAACATACTTTATATGGGGCTTGCAAGTATTCAAGATAGCCTTCATGTCTCGGGCGAGATCCCAACATGCAGCGCAGAACATGGTGTCGCGCTAATATAAGTAGTCAGAACAACTCTCTAAGATCCAAAAGCCAAGGAGCTTGGCGAAGAATACATACCTTGTTGCACAAGAAGAGACCGCACGTGTATGAGCAGCTAATCATCGCGCAGTGCTCGAATCCGCCGTTGACACAGCACTTGCGGTCATTGAGTTTTCGGAGCCAAAACCAGCCGTCATGACAAGAAGTAGCTCCAGTGACGTCCGTGCCCCAGTCGCAATTGAACTGTTCATGATGAGATCAGAATGCGTTGTTAGCGAGAGAAGGGTAAAAGAGGCTTACAGTTGATGGCTTCTCAATACCGAGCTTTTCGACGACGTTCTCTACGTTCACGTCGGAGGAAGCCCCGGGATTGATCGCCTGGATCTGCTCGTGGATGGATTTCGCTGTGCCCTTGAAGGTGATACCGGGGAACCGGTCATCGGTCACCTCTAACTCCACGATAGTCATGCCATCGGCGGATGTCTGAACACTGGCTTGGTCTGCTGGAATGGCCGTGGCGTTGCTCTATTGGTCCCGTTAGTCAATGATACCCACGAGGAACCTCTGCAAGTGGTGGGAAGCAACGCACCGTGCAAGCCAACAGGCTCGAAACGGCAATGAGGGTGGCGAAGATAAATTTCATGTTGGCACGAGATGCGTCCGTGGTCTACGAATAAGGTAGAGGTAAACCTCTCAGCGGGTTGAGTGGACTCTTTTGCGGGGGTAAGATGGTGGAACAGGAACGGAGAGACAACATGGGACCATCTATATCAAGAGGTCTCCACCGTTGTCAAGCCTTCCCTCACTTTTAGACCCACACCGATATCATTTCCCTATCGCCCGTGCGCACGGTGGAGGAGCGTTCTTGCGCGAACGGTCCGAGTGCTGTTGAATTAGGTTAGAAGGAGAGGGAAATTGAGCCCGGAAGGCTCCGTGGACCTGAAGTTGATTATTTTTGGCTTAGTGCGGCTAGGATGATGTTAGCACAGCTGAAGGAAGGAACGAGTGAGTTCGCTTGCCACGTGCTTCACTCGACCACCTGGGCACGCTTTCACTGTCCCTTCGTTCGCAACTCTGCTTCAGCTTGGCCAGATGAACGATGCGTTCTTCTCGCATGTTCTTGTGAAATCTTGTCTAGATTATGATACGTGTAGTCCCTATCTGCCTCGCCACCGTCCTGCCCAAAGTGCATGCGGTGACATATACCTTCTATCGGGACATAGCAGGCTTAGCATATTATTAGGACAAATCTGTGGACATACTGAAACTTTCAGACTGCTTGTACGATGACGATGAGCAGTAACAATCTTAGTGTTTCACTACATCGCTCTTCGCTCTTTCCCGATTTCCTCACGTCCCAGGGTCTTTCCTGTCAAGTCGTTTGTTTGGGTCTCGAGATAACGTCATTGGGGATTTAAGAGTGTGTCAAAGTTAAGATCGTGACTGCCCAAGGAAGGAGAAGGCAACACAAATTGATTGTCGCAGCACTTTTGGCGATGTGGTATAGGACTATGATTAGTTGAAGACCTGGGACCTGAGGGGTGATCATACGGTCTCGAGTCTTGTGGATTCAGTATATCGGTGTATATTGCGAGATCTGGAGCGACGCCAGTGAGAGCTGCCAAGACACATGTATGTTCTTGCGTTTGCTTCGAGGGATTAGAAGCACAGACCATCGTGTCTGATACGGCAATGCATACGGTGAACGTCACACTTTTACACAATCGGTGCCCATTTCTCCACCGCTACCTAGTCTAAGCTTCCTCCGAGTGGTTGCTGGATCCTGGATCTTGTTGCCTTCACCTTCACTCAGATCCAACACGCTCTCATTGCAGTATATAATTCCTGGGTTTCCTCTCCCCCGCCGTGCCTCTTCGATCTCTCCACTGAGTTAAATCAGAGCTGGACGTCGACTTCTTCTCTAGTTACACCAGTCCTGAGTAGCCATCAAGATGAAGACCACGCCTCTAACCGTGACGGTCACTGTCCTTGTCCGGGCGGCGGCTGTTCTCGCTCACCCATCTCGCAAGCTCTCAGTCCCAGCTTATGCAAAAGCCTCCAACTAATCTTCTATAGACCCCAACTCCGCATACGGCGTCACTCCCCGAGACCAAGACCCCAATGATATGGATGCGCTTCTCGGAATCAACTGCCGCGGCAGCGCCATGTGCACGCTGTCGACTTGCGACATTAGCCTCTCGAAGATCAAGTCATACATTGATACTATTGGTATGTTCTACAAAAGAAGTTCGCCGCACTGAGCTGTGCTAACAATCTTCATCTAGACGACAAAGAAGAGTGGGGCAACGGCGACCAGATCGCTTGTAATCTTTGCAGTGGATGTTCCAATCCCGACAAGTGCGACGGCCTCTGTGCCTTCCCACAGAAGCTCAAGTCGGACGAGAAGGTCAATGGCAGCCTGATCAAGAGCAAGATCAATGACCTAGTCAATCACAAATGCGGTAGTAAGTGTACCTTGGCCTACGCTACCTTCCAATACTGACTCGTTGCCAGGATGTGGCAGCTGCCCTACTAAGCCGGGAAACGACGTTAACACTGGCGAGATCACGGTCAACTACGTCACGTCTGGCTGCAAAGAGGGTGTCTGCGATTACAAGCGCAAGGCTGCCCGCGATGAGGTCGCTTCCAGCGTTACAGCCGACGAGACTACTGACGAAGATGTTCCCGTCGACCAAACTATCGATACCGACCTTCCTGCCGACCAGACTATCGACGCCGACGATCCCATCGATACATTTCTTCCTCCCGGAACATCCGAGAACGTACATACCCTTAAGGCCCCTTGGGGTATCAATTGCAAAGGTAGCAGTCTATGTCGTATCTGCAAGGGGAGCCTCAGGCAGATTCAGGAGACATTAGCACTGATGGGTAAGTACATGCAACACACGCTCAGCTCCCTCCCTATCAAGTATGCTTTTACTGAGAGCACTATTCGCAGACGACGACTGGGAATACAAGAACAACGAGGGGATTGTGTGCGCGCATTGTACAAAGACCAGTTATGCGGCCAATTGCATCATCGCCCACAATTTACACAGACCAATTGCCATCAGGGATGTCAAAATGTTGGTCCAGCGACTCAAAGATTTTGGATGTGGACGTAAGTTGGACTCTTCTGTCGCTGTTGTGAAATCGGGGCTAATGGTTCTTAGGATGCGGAAGCGTTCCCCTCCACGTGGGCGCGGCGAATGAACAAGGCATGCTCACTGCTAACTACATAGAAAATGGTTGTCCTGACAAAGATAAACCCTGGGGTTGTGGGCCAAAGTAGCACCGACATTGTGCTGTCGATCAGCAGGGAGCACACGCCTAGCTGGCCGAAGAGGTTTATCAAACACTCTCTGTCAGCATTGAGAAAGACTTTAAAAATGATCTGCACGAACTCTTATCTCAGTTGTACCAACATGTAGGCCATAAACATAATAGTCGTACTAAAGTGTCATGACTATACCATAAGCGCTTCAAAGCTCATCCTTGTACACCTCCTCACTCCCCTCCTGCATCTCTTCATGCTCATCGCCCTGTTCAACCTCATGTTCCTTCTCCTTGCCCATCCCCGCACTATCGCCATCTTTGTTCTTCGTTGACTTCTTCTTCGTCTTCTCAGTGTCCTGATCTTCGGTATCGATGATACCTCTAAACTCCCTGCCCCTTGGTGTGTCTACAAGGTCCAGCTTCCATCCCTTTTTGCCAGCCAGCTTCCTCAGATTGGCTTTCAAGGTCTCGACATCCTTGGGATCGGCAATGTTGAGCTTCTTCATCTCCTCCTTGGACATCTGCTTGCCGTCGCTACTCGCTACGGTGCCGATAAATGTCTCCTTGCCTCCGCCGACAACGACGGATTTCTCAATCACCTTGCCTTCGCTTCCCACAAACGACTTTGCGCCGACTTCAATGCCGCCAATGACAATGCGCTTGGTAGAGCCCTCGAGGCCGTCGGCGAGATCGCGGAGCGGGTTCGTGTTGGCGTCGTCGGCAGCGTTGTGGGCAGCGATGAGACGTTCGGCCGCGGCCAGCTTGGCGGATAGCTGTGCTTCTGTCCATGCGTCCACTTCAGACTCTGGAATGACGGGTTCACAGGTTATAGGATGTGCGAGGTTCTCTTGTGGTGGGGTGAAGGCAACGTCGTGGCAGAGGCGGGGCGTGTCGACAATCATGAGGTAGGAGCAGGTGCTTGTTTCTTTGATCATGGCGATTCGGTCGGCAGATTGTGGGTTGCAGTGGAACTGGAAGAGATGTCAATACTGTGTGTTGGAGGACAATGGCGCTGCGGGGACATACCTGTACATCGATCTTGCGCGGCTTGCCCGTCAAGTCGCACTCAGTACCATCCGACAGCCGCTGTACCATGTATCTGCTAGACCCCTTGGTCTCTAGCCTTGAGATCTCTAGGCCCTTCTCGTCATCGTCGGTCGTTTTGTCCTCATCATCAAAAGCCTCCTTGCTGCCCTCTTCGTTGCCTAGTGTCTTGCGCGCATCCGCTCTCTTGCTCTTCTCCTCCTTCGGGTACCTTCCCAATACGAAGCTGTGTACGCTCGTGTCCTCCACAGGCGGGTAATGGGGAACACCTCGACTTTGTGGCAGCTGGTGGAACTGCTTGACTTCGTCCTTGTAGCAGAAGCTGTAGCTCCACCAACCGCTCACATAGTATATGCAGTTGCCCTTCATGCCTTCGAGTAGCTCCCACCCGCGGTCTGCTGCGCGTATGAGCTCCTTCTCTTCCTCGGCTTTGGCTTCCTCGGCCGATGTTGTGTCATTCTGCGGTACCTCTTCTGGTATTATGGGTATGCTGCATAGATACCGCTGTCCGTGCAGCACGACTGCTTCGTATGTCTGTTCGAGCGCATCGTCTACGGGTGGTATGTTCGCTGCCGGCTTATCGCGCTTCGAGAGTTCCTGCGTCTCTTGCGAGCCGGGTGTTGCAGAGCTCGAGCTAGGTGATCCGTGGGAGAGGAGCAGCGTCGCATCGTTCTCGGTAACGAAAGTGTCTGGCCACAGAACCTCATACTGGGTGTGCTGTTAGCAGACGTTGCCGCTGTCGGGGTGCGTGGCGCGTCATACCTGTGGGAAAGCGAGCAGGTCGTCGAACACGCTGAACGCATGCTGATTCGCCAGCGCAATGCGCAAAACCGCCGGAAGTGCCCAAATGCCCCTCATTACGATAGGAGGCCCTAGGATTTGGGAAAGGAATAGAATAAAGGCATGCGCCGTGGAGCTGGTCGCGGAGTTCTTGGTTGCGGCCAGATGTCACTTCCGCGGGGCTAGACCGCGTTCGGCAAAACCCATGAGAGACACACGAGGGCGCTTTCCCCATCGAACATTGTTTCACGCATCACAGCCGCTTCCCTTTCGCATTCAAGCACGATCTACTTTGCAAGGGTAAGCTTTTGAGTTCTGGTAGCAACAATAACAGGAGCATATCAGGCTCGATATGATGCCATCTATTTGAGCTCCCATATAAAGGCTACCTGGGCGGTCTCTGCTGAGTTCGGGATCGTATCTACTTGTTCTCGACGAACATGAGGCGTCTCCGATTCGACGCGGGGTAGTATGCGCAGCCGTGGCAGCGTTCCTGACCGGTCAGCTTGCTGCCACGCCCTCTAGCCGCGAGCATCTCGCATGTGGAACAATACTCAGCTCAGAGTGTTCCTTCCTTCGTTATTGCATTCATCAAATCCTTGCATGCGAACATGTTCCTCTCTCCCGATAGCGCGCGCAAGGAAAATGCTGCGATATATCCCGGCCTGCCACTTCAGGGTAGCCACATTCGAGTCGTGCGACTGTTGCCCGGCAGATGGACTGAACCGATCCGCTGCGAACTGTGGAATGTCAATATCGAAGTTGCGAAATATCGGGCATTGTCTTATGTGTGGGGCTCGCAACACATGACACGACTGATTCGACTTGATGGTCGACGCTACCCTGTCACGGTGAATCTTGAGGGTGCACTGAAGCATTTGCGGGAAGCGTACAAAGACGGGCTTGACCTCTGGGTCGATGCGTTGTATGTATGATACTTGAACACGCTGACATTTATGTCTGACATCTCGGCGTTCAGATGCATCAACCAGAAGGATGGCGAGGAAAGGACTCATCAAGTTCAATTGATGGGTCTGATCTATAAGAAGTGTGAGGAATGCATAGTGTATCTTGGAGACAGCCTGGACAATGCCAGTCCCTCCTTGACTGAAACACCACAGATCCGACATTTTGAATATAGGGTTCCCGCACCGTCTGGCAAGAAGAACTCTAGCGGCAGACTAGGCGTCTATGAGATCTTTTCATTCTTCCATGACCTTTCTTTCGATAAACATCTTGATACACAGCCGATCTTCGATAATGACGCAGAGTCATCGAAGACAGGTTCACGTCACGACCAACCCCAATCTCGATCACAGCTATTCGAAACCTTGAGGAGGTTCACGCATGCGCCGTTCACCCCCTGGTGGACTCGTATCTGGGTTATACAAGAAGTGACAACACCCCCTCGCGTCGTTGTTATATACGGTACGATATCTGCATCTTGGGACATATTTGCCAAAGGCGCAGCCTATTATACTCATCATAGCGCCGCTTGCTGCAAGAATGTTGTCCGAAATCTGCCGTCGGATCAGCAGAAGGTCATCTATGACAGCTGCAAGAAGATCATGGGGATCGAGAGTCTTCGACGGACCACACACTCTTCGTCCATCACCCATACTGACTCAGTATCGCTTGGGTTGTTGAACTTGTTGATGCAATTTCGCGACCGCAAAGCGTCTGATCCGAGAGACAAAGTGTATGCTCTCCTTAGTATGGCTTGGACTCCACCAGGGAGGACACCATTGACACCAGACTATTCGCTAAGCGAGAAAAGTGTCTTTTGTAAAGCCGCGCTAGAGTCTATCTATACGACGGAATCACTGTCGATGTTCAGCACAGAGCTGGGGCGAAAGTTCAGAAACGATCTGCCTTCATGGGTTCCAGATTGGGGAGCGCCAGGAGGGCACACGTATGCTGCACGTACACAAGCTATCCTTCTATACAACGCCAATCGAGAGAAGGCTACACCCTTGACAGTCAGGTCAATCACAGAGTCTGCCCTGAGACTACGGGCTGCGAGGATAATGACTGTGGGAGTACTGGGAGAGACCATGCTGGGGGACGATGCGGCTTATACCCGGCAGACACTCCTTCAATGGTTGTCCATGTGGAATACAGCGTCGTTAGCCGAGGGTAGATTGCCGGCCAAAACGCCAGTAGATGAGCTCTTTGTGAAACTCATATGCGCAGGTGTTATACACCCCACCCATGCTAAGCTATCACATGGTGTACGCACCGTACAAGCTTACGACGCAAGCACTTTCGAGAGTTGGGCGGCATATTCAAGAATGTCGCCGCATGGAAAAGCAGACGACACAGACGTTATCGATGACACATTCACGTCTACGCAACTGTGGAGGCAATTTTTGAGGTTGTGGCCAAATTACCCGGTTTCACACGTGCCCGACCCGTCATGTGGCCGAGATGAGTACTTCCCTACTGGCCTTGACGACTTCTTGGATGGTTCCCTTCTAGTTGCTCTATTCCGAAAACGTCTCGGCCATTCTGACATCAGAAGGGATCACTATTTTGTGGGAATTCGGCCACGACCATTTGCTCCATGGAAGGATCTTTTCATTGAAGCACAGCAGGTACTTCGAAACACATTCGGTCCCGACATTGATCTGAACGTTGATGAGAGAAGGTGTTTCCTTCCAGATATTGACAATTCGATAAGCATAGCAACGCTCTCGCGGCGCCTCATTATTGGCGAGAACTCCTTGAGGTCGAGCCCTGTGACTGGCAAACATTTTTGCGGATTAGGCCCGGCGAGGACGATCAAAGGTGACGAAGTGTTCCTCTTGACAGGTGGAAAGACGCCATTCGTATTGCGTCGGCGTGATGATGCAGATGACGCGATTCCTGGACCAAAATACGAGATCATCGGTGATTGTTACTTGCAAGGATGGATGGATGGCGAGGGAGAAGGTCTTGCGTTAGATGATTGGGAAGACATAACGCTCGTGTGATAGCTTAAGCAACGCCACGTGTTTCGCAATGGGAAATTTTTGTTAACATAAAC